ATATATTTATATTACATAATTTTATGGTCTTTATTGTTGAATATTTTAGGATAATGCCATGGCACATCTCAAATTTTGTATTATTTTCTTGGAAAATACCTGATATAGTTGTATCTTACTAGGATTAAAAAAATATTTTGAAAACAAGTTGTATATTTTGTACTACGAAGATTTTACCTGAAAAAATCCGAAAAAACCCGAATAATCCGAAAACCCGAGATTGAAAAACCCGAGTTTTATTGGTTTGGTTTGATCTTTAGATTTAATAACCCGATACAATTAATTTGGTTTGATAATTGCAAAATCCGAACCAACCCGACCTAGGTACACCCTGGTTGCATTTATTTGCTTTCAAATGCCAAATTTGCCGTTACATAAAACTACCAAGTCACTAATCTGCATAGTATTAACTGTTTCATCACCTGTCTCTTCAGTCCTCTCTTCTTCATCTTCCAAGAAAAAGAAGAAAGAAAAAACCCCATCATCACCATGCCAAATCACACACAGTACTCACTCCTGCTGCCGCTCGCTGCCGTACTGACGCTGGTCTCCGTCGCCAGCGCCGCCGGGGCAGTGAGCACTTATGACTTCCAAAAAATCACGAGAGAAGAGAGAAATTACAGGCAAAAAAAAGTAATTGACATTTCCCATAAGTATGTTCCTAAATTGCCAGCTTACGGTTCGAAAAATGGGTTAGGCAACTTCATAAGACTTCAGACAAGCATCAAGTTGGGTGACCTCTCAAATTATTCAGTCTTTAACCTTTCTACTCATTCTGGTACACACGTTGATGCTCCTGGACATTTCAATGAGACTCTTTTCGAGCTCGGTTACGATGTCGTTTCGCTTGATCTCCGAACCTTAAACGGTAATGATTTTTCCCATCTCTTTATTTTTTTCTGAAAAATCAGCTGTTTCAGAATTTTGGGATAACTTTAGTTTTGTAAATTTAGGTCCTGTTCTTGTAGTGGACACTCCACGGGACAAGAATATTACAGGTATGGTCGTCATTTCTTAAACAGTAAGCATATGTATTGGTTTATTTTTGATTTCTGAAAAATAATGTTTGTTTGGATATTGTTTTGAAAAAATTGGCAAACTTTCAGTGTTGAAGGGCATTTTCTGGAAAACAGCTTTCTTTCTATTATACAAAATTTAGGAGTCGTTTGTCGATAGATAATTTTTCCTTTTTTTCGTTTTTTTTTTCTTTTCAAAATCTTGTTTGTCCATGGAATTTTGCTAGTTTTTGGAAATTTTTCGAAAATGAGTTTTTCAGAAACCAATTTCAAAATTTTCAGAAATTTTTGTTTCCCACTCACAAAACTGCAACTTTCATATGAAATGCATGTCCAAACATAATTTCAAATTTCAAATACCATTTTCAACTTAACTCCAAATACTACTTTTTTTCAAAAATTATAATTTTATGTCCAAACGCCTACTTAGTTCGCGCGGCCCCTACCCTTTTAATAAAAAAACGAAAGCTTGTATTTCTTTGGGACCCGTGTTAGTTTTAGATTGTTTTAATGCTATAAGGTTTTAGAACAAGAGTGCTTAATGCTGAAGATTTATAGCCTGTTTGACCAAGCTTTTTTTTTTTTTGGATAAAAATGCTTTTTTGGACCAAAAGTGCTTTTTGTCTAAAAAATTGAGGTGTTAGGCCAAGCTTTTAGAGTAAAAAAACGTAATTTTAGAGGTAGAAGCAGAAGTAGTTTTTGATAAGCAGAAAAAAGTAGCTTATCTTCAAAAGCACTTTTATGAGAAGCACTTTTGAAAAAAACACACTTAGAAGCAGTTTTTAAAAGCTTGGCCAAACACTAATTTAGTAAGTTGAAGAGACAAAATAATTTGGCCTCAAAAGTATAAATGGTATGTGGAATTTTCTCAATTTAAATGGTCAAAATTATTACTACTAGATAGTCATTTTGTTCGTTGACAATCTAGCCAAAGATAATTCAAAGGCATACTGGCATTCTTTTTCATATGCATTGCCAAAATTCTTACTAGATGAGTCTTTCTGAAAAACATATAATCGTACATAAAATTTGAAATTTAGTAATTTAAAAACATGATTTATAATAAGTTAAAATATAATTACAGTGTAAATATTTTTGTATTGTCAGTCATATTACTCGGTTAATAACGTTTTTCCTAGTCCCTNTTACTATTTAAAAGTTTGTATTTTTATATTCTGTTGACATCCTCACATTAGATTTTCATAAGATATAAATGATAATTACGTGAAA